GAAAACTAGTAAAATATGTAAGGTGCTATTAAAATGAGCGAGGAACTGGGGGAAATTAGCATCAAGCACTATACAGTGATAAAATGTGGATAATGAAGAAGCTATCACATTATGTTTTATATGCATATTTACAACCCACTGGGGTTTACTAAAGTATCTGTAAACAAATGTAACTGCTGATTACATGCCTTATAATTTCACAGTTCCATTTAACATTACTGTTTAGCTGTACATTTAACTATCATTTGCTTCGGCCCAACTATAGCAGTAAACCATGGGTGAAGATTCATTCCACTAAAACCACTTGCTCCAGTAACTGTATTCTAGTAATGAGTAGAAATTATAAAATCCTACCTTCTCAATTTCACTGCTTTCCTGCTTTTGACACTACCAAGGTCTTAATCTAAAATCTTGACTTTGACCATGGCGTAAAGTTTGTGTCAATTTATTCCTTAGTTCTTTTTCAGCCAGCTCCCTTATTTTCTTTAAGAGGCTCTCTTCCTCCTTATAGCTTGTGAATATGCCAAAGAGCTCCATTCTCAGCCTACTCCAGTCATTCAGCCTTTGGTAAGTTCTCACACATTCCTGATTTTTGTTTTTACAAAGCAAATCCAAAATTCTCTCTATTCCCTCATCTCCCTGACAGCTTTTCTCTGTCAGCTTCCTTGACAAAGCCCATATACCAAAATCATCCTGGGCTTTCTATTTGACACTTGCCCCCTAATTCGGACACATATTCTACTCTGCCCTTGCAGAGAAATCAATTCTTCCACTTTTTCCTTTGTCGTACTGCTATTGTCCACATTCTCCCTCCACCCAGACAATCAAAATCTCCTTAGCTCTCACCTGGATTTATCAATCCTCCCTATATATTCCTGAACTCCACATTAGTCTCTCCAGATCCTCTCCAAACATCCTATCACTTCCAAGGTTTCCCCTTCTCTTCTGAAACATGCGATACTGGAAAACCTCACAACCGTAAAGGTTCTGACTATTTACTTCTTTTGCACTCTCTGCCTGTGTGAGGGCTGATGATTTCCATTATCGACGTATTCGCTCTTCTCACAAGCGTCATAGCATTCTCTCCCATCCAAGCCTCTCTAGCTACTGAGATTATCTAGAAGTTTTATAGAGGTGTACCAGAAATGTAAAAGCTGAGGAGATATTTGAAGGCCAAGAACGCGTGAAGTTATCTCAGCAGATTGCTCCAATGGAGCCATTCAAATTGCTTGCTGAGTTCCACTTCTGTGTTTTCTACAGAAATTTAAAGAGCAGCTAGATGTGTGATCATCAGAAACTTGAAATTTATTTCACTAATGAGTTTGAAGTCATGTGAACATACACCTGACTAGCTTTCAACACAAAAAGAATGATTGTATCCTATGGTACTTATTAATAACATGATGAATAAACTTAGTTACAGCTGCACAGTTTTGCAGCAAGTGTTCAGACAGACAAATGTAACCAACAAAATTAGAAGTTCCCCATTTATTGGGGAAGAAGACTGAAAGAAATCAGATACAGATTTTTTTTTTTCCTTTAAACTACAAACTGGACTCTTGGAAATTGTATCTTTTGGATTTTATTCCTCAGCAATTTATAATATATTGCCTTCTGTAAACAGAGCATAGGTTGCATTTTTAAAAACTGAAAGCCAAAGAGTTGACTTAAAAACACAAATGGCTATTGACGTCCTTCTTGCTATTTAGAATATTTCAAATTAAAAAAGAAAAAAATGACAGCATTTCAGAAAAAATCATATATTATATATATCATAAATTATAAATAACTTCCAATTCATTATGTTTAGAAAGAGGAAAATAATTCTTATGATAATATGATGCTGGAAAAAAAAAATTCACAAATTAATCTAATAGTTCCAATTCCCTCCTTCCGATCAGATCAAACAATGCATCAGAATTATTTCCTGTGTTACAGTTCGCCCACCAGAAGCCAAGATCCAGTACCGCTTACTTTTTGTTTATGCTTTAATCTTGAGCAGCATTACTTAGTGACCGCAAAGTAAGGGCTGCCTTTTGCAAACCAGTGAGGAGTCCAGGCTTGCCCCGCGACAGAGAAATGCAGCCAGGGAACGTACAATACGGTTCCTCCCTGCGCTCCTTCGTTGCACTGCATACCTAACCAGAGTTGGAGGCTTCAGACAGTCCTAGGGGCCTCTCTTTACGTGGTCAGGTTAGAAACAGATTTTCTCAGTTGTCTGCAACACCCAAAATCTTTATGTAGGCTCTGCTTCTAGGGAAGTGATACTAGCATATTTGCAAACTAATTTGTCATAACAGGCCCGCTGTAAAAGATGTGGCTCACAGGCATACCTGCCATATATTTCTAAATGGATCAGAAAATAATTAATGTTTTAAAAGCTTCAGGCATTTTGTTTAATGAAGAGATTAAATGTAATGCCAAAGAAACCTTTTTCTCATCTGTTTATTTGACATACATGCTGTTACATGTTTTACAGTTACTTAAGCACAATTAACTAAACCTGAGATAATGGCAAGGCTGCCAAGCACAGATCAACTGTTCACTGCTTAGAAGACAGGTAACTAAAACAGCTTCAGTTTATTAGAAAAGAGCTGGGAACACTAATAACAGTGATTATTTACCCAGTCTGAAAGTAAAGCACCTGCCAGGACAGAACTCAAAAAACTTCCAGGCTATTCTAGATGACCAAGGTTACATATGTAAATAACCAGACATCTCAAAACTGCCTTGGTTTCCAGCCATTTTTGGGGCACGGATGCTTTAACAAAAACAAACAAAAACCTAACCAAAAAAAAAACAACCCACAAAACAAAAAAACCAAAAACAAACCCCCAAAAAAAGCAACTCCAAAAACCCGCAAAACCCTATCAAAGTACATACCAGGGATGAGAGGAGGTCAGAGGGTCAGTACTGAGAGTTCATATTTAAAGTTGTATTTTATGAAGAAATTTACATAAGCAGGAAAAAAACTAAAGCATAAAAAAGGCATGGCAAGAGCTCTGTGGCCCTGAAAAGGAAAGAGAAGAGTCAAGTGCAAACAAGAGAAAGAAAAGGGTAGAGCTGAGTTGTTCAGATGGACTGATGCAGTTGAAAAATTCTTCTTAGCAACCTTGTTCTGATAAACACTTCTTAGTATGTTAGAGCATGCTACTCTCTGACCCCTCAAGTGCCATCTCCCAAAGGAAACCAGCAGGACTCTTGGAAGGAAATTTGAAGTGAAACACCTGAATCTCACACAGACGTACAAGTTAGTAGAGAATACAAAGAGGAACATGATAGCGAATGGGGAAGCTGATGAAATTGGTTAAGATGAAATGGTAGAAAGAAACAGCAGCTTGCAGAAGACAAGATCTGTAAATCCCAATGACAGAAATGCAACTTGCAATCAAGACAGCTGGTAAAGGTCATTCAAGGACAGAGCCCAACAGGAGAAGAGAAGGACCACAAGGAGATTTAAATTCTCAGAGTTGCTAAGCAAAGGGGACAAAGAGAGGAAGAGAAAACAGAAACACTGAACAAAGATAATCACTAGTCATTTTTTCAAAGCTCCTGTTTTTGGGTTTTTTTTTTGAATGAGATGTTTTTTAACATCTGATAGAGACCCTTACATGGTATGTAAATTAATCCTTCAAATAAGTTTATCTGAACTTTTATAAGTATTTTGAATATCTTCTTCACATGAAAATGGGTAACACAAAACATGGTCAGATTCCTTTCCTCTAACAAAAAGAACATTGATACAGCAGCTTGATCACACTCTAATATTATCTACATGGGAGAAAAAATTGTTAGAAGACTGATGTTACCAGATAACACCGTAATGAAACCAGAAAGTTGGAAGCTAGGGGTAGGTGTGTTTAGACTAGCAAAAAAAAGGAAGTGAAACTGTTGTAAATTCAGGCTGAACAAAATTAATTTGCAAAAGTGCCAACCTGCTACGCTGGTATTCTAAATAAAGAACGAAAGACTTATTTTAAAGAGCTGCTCTTGCTCAGAAAACGTAACAGATAGTTGAAGGAATTGTTCTGCGACTTGTACCAGAACTGATGACCATAACGACTGCTCCATTATATTGTAAAATATACAAACCTCTTGCCTCCTCCCTCTTATGTTACTGTTAGGCTAATAGACAATCCACATGAGAAAGTGATGAAGGTATGCATCTTCTACTAGCCTATATCTGTACCATAAACTAAACTGTTTCCCAGAAACAAACAAAAAAGCCCACACCCACACCTGCCTACTTTTACATTTTCAATACTACATTTGCTATAATAATTTAATCACATATCTACAAGTCACACTTAGCATTCATTTTATGACCCATTCGTGAACAATAAGTTTCTTCAAAACCTGCTTTTGATTAAACTTTCCAAAATATCTCCAGTTATTCTATATTTTTCTGTAAGAGAACTTGAACAAAAGAAAATATTAGACCTCTGTGATTATGTTATAGGCAGTACAGTTGTAGAAAACCAAGTTTCTATAATAAAGGATAAAAACATTACTTCAATTACTTAAAAACTACTAAATATTGTAGTAGTTAGAAAGTTAAAGATAGGATAAGGAAACATACTGTCCATGAGACCAGTATCAACTTCTTAATTCAGACTTTAGAGTTATCATTTGTAGAAAATATACATATAATATGAAAGGACATGATTTGCCACATACATTATGAAAACAATGTACTATCTTCACCCTAGAACGGAACCAATAAACTTCATGCAATATAGTATAATTTATGATTGACTATGTGCCCTTGACAGAACTGCCCATACATTCTTGATCATCCTTTGAGCAAATTACAACATTGCAAAAAAAATTGTTAATAATGAATTTAGCAATTTCAGTCAATTTAAAGTCTTGGACAAGAAATTACCTTTAAAATGCCCACTCACATACTCAGAACCATTATTTGGATTTTTGAATATATCATTCTTTTTCATGCTTACGATTAGAAAGAATGAAGGATTTTGCAAAGTATTAGTACTTACTTATCTCCAAAGAATTTTCTCCAGAAATCTGCAGCATCGGCTTTGGTGATACGGAAGTTATCACCCTGGAATTGGCCATTTGGAAAAATAGCCTTGATTTCTGCTAGCATGTGGCTGAAGATGAGGGACAGCTTTGTTAGGTTTCTCCTGCGGATATAATAGGAATAATAATAAAATCACATCAAATCCTTGAAATTGAAAAAACTGAATCAGTCTTTCAGCATCTCATATATCCTGCATATTTGTGTAATAATCACTGTGTGGCACAAGAAAAACACTGAGTTTTCAACTGAAAACCCATCAAAGAAATACAAATCAGTAGTTTGTGTTTCCATGCACTTCTGAAGATGTACTTATCGTAAGGCTCCATAAATATAAAATAATTTGTTCAGTAACTGAACAGATTTGAGTTCTCAACTGCATAATCCAGATATATTTCTGATCCCCATAAAGATTAAGCTTGTACGTTTCATTTAATCATTCACAAAGTAGGAATTTATACTAATTAGAAAGCTAATACATTAAAGAAAAAAACAACAAAACAAACAAAAACCAAATAACAAACAAAAACCTCAAAAATTAGTTTTATATGTGACATCAAACCTATTTCAGTCCAGGTTTCTAGAAACAGAAACACAGCACAGGACTAGGTTTACTCTTTTTTCCTATGACAATTTCATTCTTTTTATTCTTTCCAGCTTTCCCTTACTGCAGCTACTTCCTATTCTCTTTTTAAATGCCTTCTCTTTAGTTAAAACTTGCTTTCACTTTTCAGTGGCATGTTAGAAACAAAAATCAAGCTTCTTTGCTATCAGCTCTCTTCCACAAGTTTTCCAGACTTGTATCAGTTAACCAAAAATTATTTCATTTTTGGTACAGAAATCCCATTTAGTACTGTGCAAAGAACACAGTACCCTTAAATGCAAATCATCCTTCTGTACGGAAAAATCCATGGGAGATGGTGGGGAGAGGAGAGAGAAGTGAAGCAATCTTTATGAGAGTTTCCTTCTGGAGATTCCTTAGATGATCCATGCAGTAAAAAAAGGGGTATTTTCCCACCTGATATATTAAATAGAGATCACTCAGGAGACTGAGCAGTCTCTGATGAAAAATTTTTATTCTTATGTATTTTAATGAAGTATTTTAATGAGTTGGAAGTGTCCTGTGTCAAACCCATTCACTTTTCACAATCGCAGGTACTACTTAATAGTACCTAAATTTAATGAAAAATATAAAATGTTTAACAATCATGTAATTTATAACTGCTTACGGATAGTATTTTAAATAAATTCAAACTTATGAATAAGACCCTAGCCACATGAAAAGATTAAGATCAATTTTTACACATGCATACCAAATAGCTTTCAGAATGCTCAATATCTCAAACAGACAGTTGAAAAGATTTCCTGGGGTCTTCCTAAAAGAACACTCAATTTAGAACTGAAGCAGTAATTATTTCAACTAAATTTGTGAACAATTTATAATAGAGATTCCTGTGGAAGCTGTGTTGCAGATTTTACTATAGGTTTTGTTACCAGGAAAAGTATGATAAAGATAGTTAATTTGAAAACATAAGTAATTTAAAATAAACAAATAAACAAACCAAGCCCTGATGATTACACTCTCCATCTCCTCAAAATTCAGAATGGTTGTAGGGCTAATTCTTTCAGAGTCCTTTAATTCCTCCAGTATAATCAGATGTCTATAATTATGATGGCCAGCTGTTCCTTATTTGCTGGATTTGTTCCTTGCTATCCCCCTTCCTATTTCCTTTGTACTTTAATTACACACACGTGTTCTTTATTATTTCACTCCTCAGAACTCAAGCCTGATGCAGAGAGCAGGCAACAGCTTTTTTAACGTGGCTTCCTCAGCCTGCCCTAGACCCAAGATTAAACAAGAAGCTTTCTGTGCTCAGCACAGATGGGAACGTGATTCGGTGCAAGTTTGAACAGAGCCCTCCCTTGCCTCCTACACTATAGATCTGTCTGCCTTAGCAGTGTACCGTGCTGCAGGGGTTCTTTTCAGGTACAAAGTTACTCAGTGAGCTTGTTGGATTCATGAGGCTTGAGCTCCATAGCAGCGAACCGAGGGATGGAGTCATGTACAGGTGCCATTTGGGGCACTTCCTTGCCCAGAGGGGAGCGTGTGTGTGCCCATACACACGCATCCATGCACATGCATTGCCTGTTAGGTATAGCTGCGCCGTACGTGACCAGAACCAACAACTGGGAGGAACTGGACAGAAAATGCACGGTATAGACATGCATCCGAATGGTTGTATCTAAATCATAAAGCCTGTTCCTCCCCTCTTTGAGCAGCACCAGTCACTAAGTGCATCAATACACTTGTTTTGTTATGCAAGTTGATTAAAACAAAGAAAACAATTTTTTTTTATTTGTATAAACAAGAAAACACGTTTTAATATCAAACTAAGATACCTTCTTATCTGACTGCAAAGCTGAAGCTTGAAACCAACTAGAACCTTATCTGTGCCTGAACATATACGCACAGCAGAAAATGGCAAATTCTTGATGATTTATACATGGTAGCTGTGTTTCCTCTTTAATTTTGATTCTTGCTGTACCAGATGATTGCCTCAAGTCCTTCTGTGGTATCAAATAATCATGATAAATCACCTCTTAACTTTTCACTTGCATATTTTTTTCTTTAGAATTGTAAAGCACACATTGCACCATTTTTACACGGATATGCTTATGTGATACCAGATCTCACTAACTTATTGAGACAGACATACAAAGCTCAATGATTTCAGAAACGTTTTTCAGGAATTATACAAGGTGCAGAGATGATGCTATCAGGGTGGGTGAGTAATTCTCCCTCCCCATGCATTTCACTCTTCTGACAGTGTCTACCCATTTTAGCACATGTACTTTTGCTGTCTTGAGGAGGGCTTTCTCAGGGCATATCATAAGCACATACTCCACTTTACCCACTTGGCAGTCTGTGCGGCTCCATTTTCTAAGTTGACTCCTTTTTCTCCCCCCCATATAAAGATGGAGCACTGTCAAAAATTTTCCATCTTGTTTTCCATTCATAAGTGTAAGACAAGGTATTCAGTCCTAGTTATTTGAAAAACAACAACTAAAACCATCAGCTTCAGCATTTTGGTGAATAAACCTAATGGAAGCCAAAGAACTGGTCAATCTGAGCCACTTATTTTTAGGTCTCATTCCCACCACGAGGCTGTAAAGAAACCAATCTTTATCAACTCAGTCTGCATCTCTGACCGTAACAACAGGGTTTTCTTCTCCTGGTCACTCTGTTGTAGTGGCAGAGGGACAATTGTACTGGCAGTCTGGTGGCACAGAAGAGCTGAGCAGATGCATGCTCTGGAGAGACTCTTTGACTCATGAGATTCTAGCAGGGGAAAGAGAGCTTGAGGGATCATATTGGAGCTACACTTCAAAAAAACGCTTTCCAAATTACTGAGAAACAATGGGTTTAATGCCCCAGCAGCCAGCCTTCTGGGTTTAAAATTATTACATACTTTCACTGGCAACCTGGAGCAGGTTAGAGGTGGGATTTCTTTTCTCAACTGTGTTACGCCTGGTACAGAGTACAAACATGTCCTTCATTTCTTTAGAGAGAATGCGTTTCATGCTGATGAGAAAAACCTTATCTTTCAGAAATCAAAATCAAACAACACTGCTGCTTTATACCAAGTGCAACTGATATGATCATTCTCCACAATATAATAGCTACTGTGGTAAGATTTAAGAATATTTTAATGCTAAATGATGCTATATCAACTCCATTTTATATAATGCATAGTGTAGGTCTCTTCCAGATTATTTGCAACATACTCAACACCTGTTACTTGATGTTTTTCCTACGATTCATGCTTAGCTTTTGCTAACTTTTTTTTGCCAACTCAAACTGATGCCACACAGTTCAAACCCCTTGTAGAACTTGATTTCTGAAAGTCTTTCAGTCATACTCTATTATACGTTGCCAGACATGCTTGTACATGACAGATCTACTGAAGAACCAACAAGATTTGAACCAATCCCAAAACACCTAAGATCTAAAAATTAAAAACTGAATTTTCATTTAGCATAAACTTGTAAAGGTCTACTGAATCAGTAAACATCTTTTGGTTAGTCAGAAGGAAGATGCATTTTCTTGATTTCAAAATTAAAATACAGACAGTAAAGCCTGAAAATAAGAATTGTGTGTTTGTTGACTTTTCAGTAAATGACTATAGTCTGAATCAATTTTCTCTTCTCCCCACCCAGAAGGGGTGTCAGTCTAGAGAATACTGCAAAGATTTAATTATTGAAGGGCTTTCCAAACACCCAGTCATATGCAATTTGAAAACAGGGCTTTATAATGGAAATATTACAACATCCCAGCCACAACCAGAGCAGCGGCAGCTAGTAGTAGAAGGTCTGAAGCAGTCCTACCCTCCTGTATCTGTTACACAGGAAAGCAAAGCACAATCGGCATGCAATAGCACAGATAAGTTTTGGCTGTGTCAACTTTGCAGTCACTGTATGAAAGCTAATTTTACTTTTTGGAAAGTCTAGCAAACAGAACTGGAGAGGGAATTAGGCAGTGTCACTTCTGCCCCTGGCCTGACTGATGCGGTGGGAGGAACACCTGCGTCCCACATTTACTGCCTGCCCATGAACGCAGTAAAACACTCAGGGAGCTCCAAACTTGGAAAGTTCCGAATAAATACGCTTGGCAGAATCAGCTTATACATAAATGTACAAAGCAAAGCATACATCTGTGCCCCGATCCTTCATAATTACTGGATTTCACAGACGATAACCAAGACAAAGTCATTTTAGCAATATGTACTTGTATCTTGTGCAACAACTTGAAAATATAAAAACTTGCTTACATACTGTACGCATATATCATTTCTACTTTCGTCCTTGTATATTACTATCTCCCACAAAAAACAATTATTTCTATTTTACAACTATATTTCTAAAAAAAAAAAAGTGTAGAAAAGAAGTCAGACTGCATATCTTTGCAGTTACGTCATTCAAAAAATTAGGTTACCACTGGGCTTCCTTCTTCATTGCATCTAGTAAGTGTTTAATCTTTCTACATCCACACAGATACACTTTGTAAAACAACAACCTGCTGTAATAAACAATACATCAACTTTACAA